AAACCGCCATGTTAAGTCTCTCTGATGATGATAAACCGCATTGTTAAGTCACTCTGATGATGATAAACCGCCATGTTAAGTCTCTCTGATGATGATAAACCGCCATGTTAAGTCACTCTGATGGTGATAAACCGCCATGTTAAGTCACTCTGATGGTGATAAACCGCCATGTTAAGTCACTCTGATGATGATAAACCGCCATGTTAAGTCACTCTGATGGTGATAAACCGCCATGTTAAGTCACTCTGATGGTGATAAACCGCCATGTTAAGTCACTCTGATGGTGATAAACCGCCATGTTAAGTCTCTCTGATGGTGATAAACCGCCATGTTAAGTCACTCTGATGATGATAAACCGCCATGTTAAGTCACTCTGATCATGATGAACCGCCATGTTAAGTCACTCTGATGATGATGAACCGCCATGTTAAGTCTCTCTGATGATGATAAACCGCCATGTTAAGTCACTCTGATGATGATAAACCGCCATGTTAAGTCTCTCTGATGATGATAAACCGCCATGTTAAGTCTCTCTGATGATGATAAACCGCCATGTTAAGTCACTCTGATGATGATAAACCGCCATGTTAAGTCACTCTGATGGTGATAAACCGCCATGTTAAGTCACTCTGATGGTGATAAACCGCCATGTTAAGTCACTCTGATGGTGATAAACCGCCATGTTAAGTCTCTCTGATGGTGATAAACCGCCATGTTAAGTCACTCTGATGATGATAAACCGCCATGTTAAGTCACTCTGATGGTGATAAACCGCCATGTTAAGTCTCTCTGATGATGATAAACCGCCATGTTAAGTCACTCTGATGATGATAAACCGCCATGTTAAGTCACTCTGATGGTGATAAACCGCCATGTTAAGTCACTCTGATGATGATAAACCGCCATGTTAAGTCTCTCTGATGATGATAAACCGCCATGTTAAGTCACTCTGATGGTGATAAACCGCCATGTTAAGTCACTCTGATGATGATAAACCGCCATGTTAAGTCTCTCTGATGGTGATAAACCGCCATGTTAAGTCACTCTGATGATGATAAACCGCCATGTTAAGTCTCTCTGATGATGATAAACCGCCATGTTAAGTCACTCTGATGATGATAAACCGCCATGTTAAGTCACTCTGATGATGATAAACCGCCATGGTAAGTCACTCTGAGGGTGATAAACCGCCATGTTAAGTCTCTCTGATGATGATAAACCGCCATGTTAAGTCACTCTGATGGTGATAAACCGCCATGTTAAGTCACTCTGATGATGATAAACCGCCATGTTAAGTCTCTCTGATGGTGATAAACCGCCATGTTAAGTCACTCTGATGATGATAAACCGCCATGTTAAGTCTCTCTGATGATGATAAACCGCCATGTTAAGTCACTCTGATGGTGATAAACCGCCATGTTAAGTCTCTCTGATGGTGATAAACCGCCATGTTAAGTCACTCTGATGATGATAAACCGCCATGTTAAGTCACTCTGATGATGATAAACCGCCATGTTAAGTCACTCTGATGATGATGAACCGCCATGTTAAGTCACTCTGATGATGATGAACCGCCATGTTAAGTCACTCTGATGGTGATAAACCGCCATGTTAAGTCTCTCTGATGGTGATAAACCGCCATGTTAAGTCACTCTGATGATGATAAACCGCCATGTTAAGTCACTCTGATGATGATAACCGCCATGTTAAGTCACTCTGATGATGATGAACCGCCATGTTAAATCTCTCTGATGATAAACCGCCATGTTAAGTCACTCTGATGATGATAAACCGCCATGTTAAGTCTCTCTGATGATGATAACCCGCCATGTTAAGTCTCTCTGATGATGATAAACCGCCATGTTAAGTCTCTCTGATGATGATAAACCGCCATGTTAAGTCTCTGATGATGATAAACCGCCATGTTAAGTCTCTCTGATGATGATAAACCGCCATGTTAAGTCTCTCTGATGATGATAAACCGCCATGTTAAGTCTCTGATGATGATAAACCGCCATGTTAAGTCACTTTGTTGATGATAAACCAACATTATAAGCCACTTTGCTGAGCTATAATTTGTGATTGCCAGGTTGCTTCTTCATAAAAAAAACTAATAGCTAAGTGGGGCCTAATTTGGTAATATTTACAAAAAAGAACATAGTTTACATTTATTAATATATTTTTGTTAAAAGTTAATTGCTTATCTTTCCTATCATTTGAATCACCATCGTGTCTTTGTATTGCGTTTGTTTTTTTTTAATCCTTCATATTAAGTTCGCTTGCTTGCGCGCTTACGACCGTGCAAATCTTTCGGTCGTTTTTTAACCCACTTCCCGTGATCCAATCGAGCTGACATTTTGCACACAGACTCGTTGTGCGAGACAATTAATGTTCGTGAAAAATGTTTTAAATTTTTGTTACACTTTTTAGGGAAAACAAATAAAAAATGTATTTACCAATTGCTTAATACTGGCAGACAATCATCTGACCCATAGGTGGCAGCCTTCTCAAGCCAGAGGACGAGAGGACTCTAGCCGCCACGCATATAAAGGATTTATAGTGAAAAACTTTGTTTTTACTGGTTAATTTTTTTCTAACCTTCTGACCCCCATGCCTCCTGACTGGGCACGTGTAATAAAGAGCTTTTTAGATAATCGGATTTCACAATAAATAAATAACGATTCCGATTCCCGAATCGTCACTACGTTGGCTCGATTCCACACCTCAGCGATTCCTTCCCGCGTGACCCCTAGCCCGCTCTGACGTCACCCACCGACTCGATCAACACAACCGCGCGGCCATCTTACTAAGGGGCTCTCGTGAAGTGGGCGGGGCACGAGGGGTCAGGGGGGAGGGGCCGCGGGGGGGGGGCCTCGCTAAGCAATTGACCACTGCGGGTGACGTCATCTGCACAGTTACCCCCTTACCAAGATGGCTGCCGGTGGATTCAAAACCTTTGGGTCGCTCCACCACCAGCACCCTCGGCATCACTCACTCGCTACGGGACCAGCCTCAGCTCCTGCTGCTGCTACTACTGCTGCTACTGCTGCACCTCCTGCTACAGCTGTGGAGCTATAGAGGTATTGATACTGCTGCTGCTACAGCTGTGGAGCTATAGAGGTATTGATACTGCTGCTGCTGCTACAGCTGTGGAGCTCTGGGTAGTGTTACTGTTGCTACTGCTGCTGATACAGCTGTGCAGCTATATAGGTATTGATACTGCTGCTGCTGCTGCTGCTACTACTGCTGCTACTGCTGCACCTACTGCTACAGCTGTGGAGCTATAGAGGTATTGTTACTACTGCTGCACCTACTGCTACAGCTGTGGAGCTATAGAGGTATTGATACTGCTGCTGCACCTCCTGCTACAGCTGTGGAGCTATAGAGGTATTGTTACTACTGCTGCTGCTGCTGCTGCTGCTACTACTACTGCTGCACCTCATGCTACAGCTGTGGACCTATAGAGGTATTGATACTGCTGCTACTACTACTGCTGCACCTCCTGCTACAGCTGTGGAGCTATATAGGTATTCATACTGCTGCTACTGCTACTACTGCTGCACCTCCTGCTACAGCTGTGGAGCTATAGAGGTATTGATACTGCTGCTACTACTGCTGCACCTCCTGCTACAGCTGTGGAGCTATAGAGGTATTGATACTGCTGCTACTACTACTGCTGCACCTACTGCTACAGCTGTGGAGCTATAGAGGTATTGTTACTGCTGCACCTACTGCTACAGCTGTGGAGCTATAGAGGTATTGATACTGCTGCTGCTGCTGCTGCTGCTACTACTGCTGCTGCTACTGCTGCACCTCCTGCTACAGCTGTGGAGCTATAGAGGTATTGATACTGCTGCTGCTACAGCTGTGGAGCTATAGAGGTATTGATACTGCTGCTGCTGCGACAGCTGTGGAGCTATGGGTAGTGTTACTGTTGCTACTGCTGCTGATACAGCTGTGGAGCTATAGAGGTATTGATACTGCTGCTGCTACTACTACTGCTGCACCTCCTGCTACAGCTGTGGAGCTATAGAGGTAGTGTTACTACTGCTGCTGCTGTTGCTACTACTACTGCTGCACCTCATGCTACAGCTGTGGAGCTATAGAGGTATTGATACTGCTGCTGCTACTACTACTGCTGCACCTCCTGCTACAGCTGTGGAGCTATAGAGGTATTGATACTGCTGCTGCTGCTACTACTGCTGCACCTACTGCTGCACCTACTGCTACAGCTGTGGAGCTATAGAGGTAGTGTTACTACTCCTGATGCACCTACTGTTGCTGTTGCTGTGGATATTTATGTGTTTACAACTGCTGATGTGAATGTAACGTTATTCCGACTGCTGATGCTGTTACTGCTGCTGTGAATGTAACGTCATCCGTACTGCTGCTGTTACTGCTGCTGCTACTGCTGCTGCTGTGAATGTAACGTCATACCTACTGCTGCTGTTACTGCTGCTACTGACGATGTTACTGCTGCTACTGCTGTTAATGTAATGTGTGTTACTCTTGCTGATGCTGTTACTGCTGATACTACTGCTGATGCTGCTACTGCTGCTGCTACTGCTGTTAATGTAATGTGTGTTACTCTTGCTGATGCTGTTGCTGCTGATACTACTGCTGCTACTGCTGCTGCTACTTCTGCTGTGAATGTAACGTTATTCCTACTGCTGATGCTGCTACTGCTGATACTGCTGCTGCTACTGCTGCTGCTGTGAATGTTACGTCATTCCTTCTGCTGTTGATGTTACTGCTGCTACTGCTGCTGTAATGTAACTTTATTCATACAGGTGATGCTGTTACTGCTGCTGCTGCTGATGATGTTGCTGCTGCTACTACTGCTGCTGTGAATGTAACGTCATTCCTACTGCTGATACTGCTGCTGCTGATGATGTTGCGGCTGCTACTGCTGCTGCTGCTGTGAATGTAACGTCATTCCTACTGCTGATGCTGATGCTACTGCTGCTACTGCTGCTTCTACTGCTGATGCTGTTACTGCTGCTGTTACTGCTGCTGATGCTGCTACTACTACTGCTGTGAATGTAACGTGTTTTACTCTTGCTGATGCTGCTGCTGCTGTTACTGCTGCTACTACTGCTGATGCTGCTACTGCTGCTACTGCTGCTGCTGTGAATGTAACGTGTGTTACTCTTGCTGATGCTGCTGCTGCTGCTGCTACTACTGCTGATGCTGTTACTGCTGCCACTGCTGCTACTACTGCTGCTGTGAATGTAACGTGTGTTACTCTTGCTGATGCTGCTGCTGCTGCTGCTACTGCTGCTACTACTGCTGATGCTGTTACTGCTGCCACTGCTGCTACTACTGCTGCTGTGAATGTAACGTGTGTTACTCTTGCTGATGCTGCTGCTGCTGCTGTTACTGCTGCTACTACTGCTGATGCTGTTACTGCTGCCACTGCTGCTACTGCTGCTGCTGTGAATGTAACGTGTGTTACTCTTGCTGATGCTGCTGCTGCTGCTACTACTGCTGATGCTGTTACTGCTGCCACTGCTGCTACTACTGCTGCTGTGAATGTAACGTGTGTTGCTCTTGCTGATGCTGCTGCTGCTGTTACTGCTGCTACTACTGCTGCTGTGAATGTAACGTGTGTTACTCTTGCTGATGCTGCTGCTGCTGCTGTTACTGCTGCTACTACTGCTGATGCTGTTACTGCTGCCACTGCTGCTACTGTGGCTGTTGTGAATGTAACGTGTGTTACTCTTGCTGATGCTGTTACTGCTGCTGTTACTGCTGCTGATGCTGCTACTACTACTGCTGTGAATGTAACGTGTTTTACTCTTGCTGATGCTGCTGCTGCTGTTACTGCTGCTACTACTGCTGATGCTGTTACTGCTGCCACTGCTGCTACTACTGCTGCTGTGAATGTAACGTGTGTTACTCTTGCTGATGCTGCTGCTGCTGTTACTGCTGCTACTACTGCTGATGCTGTTACTGCTGCCACTGCTGCTACTACTGCTGCTGTGAATGTAACGTGTGTTACTCTTGCTGATGCTGCTGCTGCTACTGCTGCTACTACTGCTGATGCTGCTACTGCTGATGCTGTTACTGCTGCCACTGCTGCTACTGCTGCTGCTGTGAATGTAACGTGTGTTGCTCTTGCTGATGCTGCTGCTGCTGCTTTTCTCCCCAACTGATGCCGTTCATCTACTTCTGATGCTCTGAATAACACCCTGTATATTTCACCTACAACATGGGAACTCTTTTGCCAGTGTAGAGGTGTAATTGCGCATGTCTACGAATGTTGAGGTGTGATTATGCATGGCCACGGATGGCCAACAAACACAAGGGGCGGGGTTACGGCCGTACACAAAGGGTGGCGCTCGCACCGACGTCCGCATGTGTATCCCCCACGGGCCCCCCCCCCCCCCTTGGGGGCGAGTCCTATAAAAGGTGATGAGCCGAAAGGCTCGGGAGTCGGGACTCAGCTATAACCAGAGAAGACGGAAGACCTGCTAGTGTAGGCCCCAGAGCTCCCCTGGCTCGCTGTCCTTATGAGGGCCGACCAGGGCAAGCCGGTGGCGTGGCCCCGAGAGCCCAGACGAAGCTGGTCTGGTGACTCAGGGAGCCGGGATCCCAGCTTAACCAAGCTGGGACAGATAGCCTCCCCTAGTCCCGTAGTGGAGGAATTGGTATAGGTTAGAGGGGTTAGCTGTCGAGAAATCCCTGTAGCCCAGTGACCTGTAAATAACTGTGTTGGTGTAATAAATAAGTGTGCCTCCGATCCTGTCGTCAAGCCTCCATATACTTACTACACCAGTATCAAAGCACTAACATAATCAGTGCCGGATGAAGCAAGTGCGGTACCTGTTGCACAAATGTTATAAAGGGGGCCCTAACTAAAATAAAACCGTAAATGTGAAAACACAATTTTTTTTTACTTGCATAGTCAAGTCATTGTCTTTTTAAATCCTTTATATTAAGTTCACTTGCTTGCTTGCTTAGGACCGTGCAAATCTTTCGGTCGTTTTTTAACCCACTTCCCGTGATCCAATCGAGCTGACATTTTGCACACAGACTCGTTGTGTGTGACAATTGATTTTCGTGAAAAAAAATTTCAAAAATTTTACACTTTTTAGGAAAAAATAAATTATATTTACTTACCAATTGCTTAATGGTGGCAGACAATCATCTGACCCATAGGTGGCAGCCATCTCAAGCCAGAGGACGAGAGGACTCTAGCCGCCACGCATATAAAGGATTTAGAGTGAAAAACTTTGTTTTTACGGGTTAATTTTTTTGCATTTGCTATACAGCCGGATATGACAAATCGCTGAACTTAAACACCCGGTCGTTCATAAAAGTTGAAGGCTGTATAGTACTATAGTAATAGAGCAAGTGCAGAATCACTGAACTGGAATAGATAGCTTGAAAGCATTTAGCTCGGAGCCCTTGAAAGTGTGGGACCCGTAGCATATGTAGCTGCTTTTGCTGTTAGGATAATCCGGCACTGAATAAAACACATTCTTCCTGCGGAGGGAGCTGGTAGGAACGTTGGGTTGCTCGGTCAATGGCCTGCAGGGTCAACGGCGGCGTGGTGTATTCCGCAAATATGCCCGACTGTGAGGGCGGGCACAAGCCGGCGTGAGTAGGTGAAACGTTGAGTTTTATAAGGGCACCACGGGGTGACCAGCCCCTCCCCACCCAGCCCCACCCCTCCCACCCCCCACCCAGCCCCACCCTCTCCACTCAGCCCCTCCCTCCCCACCCAGCCCCTCCCCACCATCCAGCCCCTCCCCACCCTCCCCACCCAGCCCCTCCCCACCCTCCCCTCTCCACCCAGCCTCACCCTCCCCACCCTCCCCACCCCACCCAGCCCCACCCTCCCCACCCAGCCCCTCCCCACCCAGCCCCATCTCTCCCACCCTCCACCCAGCCCCACCCTTCCCACCCAGCCCCTCCCCACCCTCCCCACCCAGCCCCACCCCTCCCATGCACGACGGACACAATAATCCCCTGTGGGCTGGTGTAACCAGGAGGTTCCAACCAGTATTATACCTGCTGATGCAGTTTCTGTATGTACTGTTGCTACTACTACTACTGCTGCAGATCTCCTGTTGAAGCCACTGATGTTGTTACTCCATCATAAAGTAAAATTTTTTTGGGTTAGATCGCGTAAATATAAATGTGTCCTTAACCCACCTCCGACATTTAAACTGAAAACTAAACTACGTTTTATTGTTTCTTGTTAATGCTCACGGAGCCATATATCCCCTTTTCAAAAACGACCTGGCTATTCTTAGGTTTTTTCGGTAAAGTCACGTAGGTAAAACATTAAAATTAATAAAAGTAAAATAAAATAAAAATCACGACGTTTCGGAGGCAACACAAGCTTCCGTCTTCAGGTGGAACCGTCACAGCACGACAGCTGTATCAAGTAAATGAGAGATTGCAAGAGCTACCACTCCGTATATATATAATATATACGGAGTGGTAGCTCTTGCAATCTCTTATTTTCCTTTGATTAATTTTAATGTTTTACCTACGTGACTTTACCGAAAAAAAATCCTTGCAGTCACGAAAGCTTCAAATCTAGAATTAACTACCTGGCTATCACGAATTATCGCTCAACGAAGTTGGCTCGTTATCATCATCATCCTCACGTGGACATTCATAGCGGCCGATTACTCTAAACGCGCGATGCTGAGTCTAAATGTGGAGGGGAAAAACCGGAGAAAAATCAACGCGACCACGGGGTGAGAGAGAGAGAGACACGCAAACTTCAAATATACTGCAGCAGGCATCGTCAGGGTCGGGATCAAACCCACGACCTCCTGCACACCAGGCGAGGTAGTTAACATCTCCTAGCCACCATGATGATGATGAGAGAGAGAGAGACACGCAAACTCCAAATATACAGCAGCAGTCATCGTCAGGGTCGGGATTGAACCCACGACCTCCTGCGTACCTGGCGAGGTAGTTAACATCTCCTAGCCACCGTGATGATGATGATAGGAGAGAAAGAGAGAGACACCGCAAACTCCAAATATGCAACAGGCATCAGGGTTCGGATCGAACCCATGACCTATATACCAGGCGAGGTAGTTAACATCTCCTAGCCACCGTGATGATGATGAGAGAGAGACACACAAACTCCAAATATACAGCAGCAGGCATCAGGGTCGGGATCAAACCCACGACCTCCTGTATACCAGGCGATGTAGTGAACATCTCCTAGCCACCGTGATGATGATGATAATGAGAGAGAGAGACACGCAAACTCCAAATATGCAACAGGCATCAGGGTTCGGATCGAACCCATGACCTATATACCAGGCGAGGTAGTTAACATCTCCTAGCCACCGTGATGATGATGAGAGAGAGACACACAAACTCCAAATATACAGCAGCAGGCGTCAGGGTCGGGATCAAACCCACGACCTCCTGTACACCAGGCGAGGTAGTTAACATCTCCTAGCCACCGTGATGATGATGATGAGAGAGACGATGCCTGCTGTATATTTGGAGTTTGCGTGTCTCACTCTCATCATCATCACGGTGGCTAGGAGATGTTAACTACCTCGCCTGGTATGCAGGAGGTCGTGGGTTTGATCCCGACCCTGACGATGCCTGCTGCTGTATATTTGGAGTCTGCGTGTCTCTCTCTCATCATCATCATCACGGTGGCGAGGAGATGTTAACTACCTCGCCTGGTGTACAGGAGGTCGTGGGTTCGATCCCGACCCTGACGCCTGCTGCTGTATATTTGGAGTTTGCGTGTCTTTCTCTCTCTCATCATCATCACGGTGGCTAGGAGATGTTGACTACCTCGCCTGGTATGCAGGAGGTCGTGGGTTCGATCCCGACCCTGACGCCTGCTGCTGTATATTTGGAGTTTGCGTGTCTTTCTCTCTCTCATCATCATCACGGTGGCTAGGAGATGTTGACTACCTCGCCTGGTGTGCAGGAGGTCGTGGGTTCGATCCCGACCCTGACGCCTGCTGCTGTATATTTGGAGTTTGCGTGTCTCTCTCTCTCTCCGTGGTCACGTGCCCTCCGGTTTTTCCTCCCTCCACATTTATAATCAACGTCACGCGTTTAGAGTATTCGGCTGCTGCTGGGAATTCTCATGTGACGACGATGATGACGATGATGATAATCCACCACTTCGTGTGCGCTGCTGTCATTTTTGATAGACCAGGTCGCGTCTGAAATAAGTAATATTTAAAATAACTATTTTTTTAAACACGGTTTAGTGAAATGTACCGTACGAGTAATGGCAGAACTCCACGACTCCAGGAAGTGGCCACAAAGCTTGCCATAACGTCAGGGGCCGTGGTGATTTACAGCCAACGTCAGTTGAGCGTGGACAATTAGACCCAAGCCGAAACATATGAAAAAGATTGTTTACATTTTGATTTAAAGCTTTCGTGACTGCAGGGATTCATATTCTTGGTTTTTTCGGTAAAGTCACGTACGGTTACCCGTTTGCGACCCTGGTGCGGCCGGGTACGGGTACGGGGGGTAAGGAATCAAAACCCGTTTGCGACATCTGCCACACGCATTGACCCTCAACGCTGCGACACGTCTCCCCACTCGTCGAATCGCTCGCAGACTCGCCGACCCGCCATGAGGGATGCGTAGCGACGCGCAGGAGGAGGCGGCGGCGGCGGCGCCAGCGATGCATCCCGCCGACGACCGCAGCAGCAGACCGCAGCGTCCCCCGCCGGTTCCGGCGCTTCCCCGACAACACCAACAACAACATCACCAACAACAACAACACCAACAACATCACCAACAACATCACCAACAACAACAACACCAACAACATCACCAACAACAGCACCAACAACATCACCAACAACAACAACAACATCATCATCATCGGCCGCCGCCGCTGCCGCTGCTTTTCCTCCTCCTGCTGCTGCTG